CCTTCCTTAGAGAACGACCCGAGTCGGGTAACTCGGTTACTACTTGCCCAAAAAAATATTGCAAACAATAATATTAAATAAATTTGTTTTAGTTACATTTTGTTTCTGTTACTTGCAATTAACCCGCACCGAAATCGAAAATTTCGGTGTGTTTCGGGTTCAATTTTTTTTCTCCACAATGATGCGGTTCGGTTTGGACTTTAAAAATTTTCGGTTTTCGGTCACCAACAAAACCGATGTTCACCCTTAGATAGATACCACATTTGATATAAGTTGGAATAAAATTACAACTTTGCTTTTTTCACCTTTTAAAAAATCAGAAATTCTTTCGGAAGATATAATTTCCAGTATATATATTAGGAATAATTACACTTTGCCTACCTAACTATCTGAAAATTTACACTTTGCCCACAGAACTTTTTTTTTTACACTTTGCCTACCCAACTTTAATTTTTGTACACTTTGCCATTTCCGGTCATTGTCGGCGACACGTGGCTTTTGTGCCTTATTGCCACGTGGCGCCAACAATGACCGAAAAAATGGCAAAGTGTACAAAAAATCAAAGTTGGGTAGGCAAAGTGTAAAAAAAAAAAGTTTTGTGGGCAAAGTGTAAATTTCCGGATAGTTAGGTAGGTAAAATGTAATTTTTCCTATATATTAATATACGGCCTGAATTTTATATTTTTTCAATTGAAAGCTTACATTTTATGTTATTCTCACTTTAAGGCTTACTTTTTAGTTAACTTTTCATTATAAGACCCAACTAACTTTATTTTTTTTCATATAAATATGTAAAACAATTATTATTTGAACAAAAATTTTATTATTATTATTATTATTATCATTATTATTATTATTTATATTTTACATCTCATAATAAAAAAATAATAAATATCTTTAGGAAAATTATATTAATAAAAAATATTAAACTATATAAATTACAAATGAGAAACAAATATAGTAAAATTATATTAATAAAAAATGAAACAATATAAACATTTATTTTCAATGATGTAATTTTTTTTTGCATAAATATAATTAATATAGTTTCACATCATTGTAATTTGTATAGTTTCATTTTTATTAATATAATTTTACTAAAGATATTTATTATTTTTTTATTATAAGTATGTAATATATAAATTTCATAATAATAATAATAATAATAATAATAATAATAATAATAATAATAATAATAATTTTTTTATTCACATAATAGTTGTTTTACATATTTATATGAAAAAGTAAAGTTAATTGGGCCTTATAATGAAAAGTTGACTAAAAAGTAAGCTTTAAAGTGAGAATTATCTAAAATGTAAGCCTTCAGTTGAAAAAATATAAAATTCAAGCATTAAATTAATACATATACTAAAAGTTAGGTCTTCCAATATAATTCCCTATTAAAAAACTCCAAACTTATTAATTTTATCATATCTTTACTTTTACCTAATTTCAATAAATATTATATGATTAAATTTTGAAAATTATTCAACTAAAATAAAATAATAGCAAAAAAATAATTGCAAATAAATAAACATAAACATAAATAATTATTTTAGGTGGTGTTGGAATGTTGAGTTGGTTTGATAAAAGATAGTCCTCTAATTTTGGAGGATAAGGATAGCTTTATAGTTCAACCCGCGCAAAAGTCAAGAAACATCAAACCGCAAAATCGGTAAACACGTGCGCGCAGGAGAAATTGTGTATTTCACAGATCCACTCGACTCGAGCATTCATCTCAAATGGAGCTCCGGCCCGGCCTATCGGCTCTCGTCACCGGCGGCGCATCCGGCATCGGCCGAGCACTGGTGCTGGCACTCGCGCAGAAAGGGATTTTCATCACAGTCGTCGATTTTTCCGAGGAAAACGGGAAACAAGCTGCGGAGCTGGCGGTAAAAGAAGTTTCCAAGTTTCACGGCGAACTTGGATTTCCGCCCGTGCTGTTCTTCAAGTGCGACGTCACCGACTCGAGTAAGCTACAGATGTTCTATATTCTTTTTTTTTTGGGGTATTTATCATTATTTTGATTTTCAGAGCTTGATAGTATGATGAAATAGTATGCGTGAAGTGATTGTTTTCGTGCTTAGATCAACTCACGGCAGCTTTTCAGAAGCACGTTCAGACCTATGGAGGATTGGATATTTGTATCAACTGTGCGGGGATCACGAATCCGATTCCATTTCATAAGGATGAAACCGATGGCTCCGAATCTTGGAGGCGAACAGTTGATATCAATTTACTGGCAGTCATTGAGTGCACTCGCCTGGCGGTATTTTTGTGTTTTTTTTTTTCGAGTTTAGCATGTTTTCCTACTGTAATTACTTGGATTGGATGACTAGCTTCTGAAGTTATGTAAGACTCACGTAGTTACTAATTCTCGCTTGTGTTACAGATTCGAGCAATGCAGAAGGCCAGAAAACCTGGAGTGGTCATTAATGTTGGTTCTGCTTCAGGGTTGTACCCAATGTATGGCGACCCTATATATTCTGGAACCAAAGGTTTGTTGCTCTTTGCTTTTCTGGTTGTTTAAGTATTTATTTTGAGTCCATAAATATCCGCTAATAGACTGAGTTCAAATAGTTGATCTCAGCAAAGTTAAAGGTGGACTTATCCGGGTTGTATAACTTTGTGTATCTGTTAACTTATGTGCGTCACCGTACTTCTCTTGTTTCTGGCTAATGAGAAACCAATTCGCAGGGGGAGTAGTTTTGTTCACCAGATCTCTAGCTCTTTACAAACGTCAAGGAATCCGTATTAATGTTCTTTGCCCTGAGGTGAACTATGTTCTATTTATATGTTATATTTTTGCTTACAACTCTAACTCACTTCGGAGAGAATGCAAATATTTTTTTTAAAAAGTAGATCTGAGAAGCCTAACAATCTGATGTTAATCAATTATTTATTTCTAGATGGAGTTTGTGTTAACTGTTCTGTTTTTATTTTTTAAATGCAGATCAATCGTTGACGAATAACCATTATATTTTTATGTTCTTTGTACCTATGAAATTAGATGAAAGTTCTTGTTAAAAGTTATGTTATGCATTGCATGGAGCTGGTGTTAGAAATTGTGTTTTTGGGCTGTTAGTGTGTGTAATTGTGGTTCGAACACCCTTTGACTTTGAGCTAGCTTTTGGGAATGAGTTCTACCTAGGCCCAATTATCATCTCATTAGGGTGACCGCGAGAATTGTTTGTCTCGCTTGGAGCTCTCTTAGATTTAAAATCTTGTGAACTATCTTGCAGATCCAAACCACATATTCAACTATACTATACTATTGCAAGAAAAGACCATGCATAGCTCGATTTAACAAAGTAGCTGTCAATTGCAAAATATCATGCACTTAAAAACTTCAAGCAACACAACCAGAACGTAAGTTGTTCTAGATTTTGGAATTACAGCATAAAATTTTTAACATTACTGTGCTACTGCTACCAAATTTCGGACCCGGGTCATGGTTTATGTTCAACAATATATTATCTATAATTTGTATGTCTTTTCAGGTGGGCAATTCCTTGCATTTCCCGTTTTGTGAAGTGTATTATTATGATAAACTAATATCTGTTTTACTTTTGCACTTTGGGCTCTCATTCTATTTTATGATACATAAAAGGTTTTGATAGAGCTCTTACTGTGGTTGCTGTACTGTAAATTTCTGAGTCTTCAATTTATTCTGTTTCAATTTTTACCTTCTGCAGTTTATCCAAACCGAGCTGGCCTCTAAAGTGGACCCTAGGTTTATCAATATGATAGGCGGCTTCATACCTATGGAAATGGTTGTGAAAGGTAAAAAACTTTCCAAGTAATATTTTATCTTGCATGCTGAGGACGATTTCATTTGGCTAATGTTGCAGTAAGAACATTATTGTGCAATTGAATCTACAAAAATTTGCATAATCATGTTGTGCCTCAACCTTATTGTGCAACTGAACATGAACTACTTGTCTCAACTATGTGGCGTAACTTCTGCATGAAAGAACCAATATTATTTCCAAAAGAAAAGGCAGAGCAATTTCAAGCTTTAATTATAATTATGTTTTGTGACATTATGGGCATCTGGCTTCATAGTTCTCCATGTACATACATTATTGTATCACCTATATTGATTGATGAATTAGGTTCCTTTCAGGCTCTCCTAGGTATATCCACCTGTTATTTTCCCCCACACCTTACTCTGTTTACATTTTGTTAGACATTATGTTTGTACCACATCGATTAGTTACTGGGCTGGTAAGTATTGGTTGGGCACCCTCTATGTTTGAGCTAGCTTTTGAGATGAACTATACCAGACCCATTTATCATGGAATCAGAGGACCCAAGTTTTGTTTGGAGGCAATGTTGGGTTTCGGAACCTGCCAATTTGGTTTGGCACACTGCGCATGCGGGTGGGTGTTAGAAGTTATTTTTATCCCACAGCAATTAGTTACTGAGTTATTATATACAAATGTGGGTTCGACATCCTCTCCCTTTGAGTTAGCTTTTGGGGATGAGTTCTACCCAAACCCCTTTATCACAAATAAGAATTCTTGCCTATATCCTAGTTTTTTTGAAAGAAAATGAGGATATTGCAATCTGAAGATTATTATTGAGACTTGAAACTTACTGAGGTTCCTATTTGCAAGCATGATTAATAAATTTATTTTCTTTCCAATGATCGTGGTTTGCTTCATCAGATTGCGAAGCTGTTCTGCACTATGTATTTGTGCACCAAAGAGCTTCCCTTGTTATTATAAAAAAGAAACCTAGCGCAAGAAGGAGGCTAAGAACGTGAAATTAAGCCATGGACAAATGGTTAGCAAGGGTTGTCGATGGATAAGCACACAAGGAAGATTTTATCATTGTTTGCTGTTTAACCATTTCTCTTCATCAGTCCCTCAACGCTTTCATTAGGCTGCTAATTCATCTGGCCTCACAAAACTCTGGATTATTGTGCAGCTGATCTAATCAGTTATAAATCTTTCTGCAGAAATAAATATTTGTGACCTCCCTTGAAAATGATTTTGGGAGAAGACACTCATGCAGCAACACTAGGAAAATCTTGTCAAGTGTGCTATTTCTTGCATGTCACATTCCTTTTCAGTTTGCAAGGTGTTCCATAATGGAATTGAAAGTGGATTGACATTGACTGATTTGCTAGGACAGCTGTTGTACTCATTATGCTCAAGATTATTGTGCATGCAACCATGCTCTTAAGCATGAGTAATACGTCATCTTGCAGGATGCAAAAATTATTTTTAGTAGTCTGGATTACATATAGCTTGTAGAAATACTTTATGCTATTATATAGTAAATTCTGTTTTCTTGGTTGACCTTTCAATTCTAAACTTATTTAGGTGCCTTTGAGCTTATTACCGATGAAAGCCAAGCTGGGTCTTGCTTGTGGATATCTAACAGAAGGGGTTTGGAGTATTGGCCAGGCCCTGCAGAAGAAGAAAAATACCGCATACGCCCTAAGATCTTAAGGAGAAGATCCCCAGATGTGGTCCCCGTGAATATTCAGATCCCTCAAAGTTTTGATAAGATGTGAGTGGACTCGGATTCATTTTAGCTTCAGGAAAGACTAGAACTAATTGATTTAATCTTGTTAATTGTGTTGATATCCTAGAACATTCAGTGAGTTCAAGGTGGCATGATCCACTCATGTCAATTGGGCGCCAGAATTGTTAAGTATCAGTAGCAATTCGATTTAATGTTCACAACAATTCTGATTTACTTGAATTTCAGGGAACTGTTTCTCTGAAACGAACTGAGCAAACTATAAACCTTCATTCTATGTTGTCATTCTTTGTTTGTCTTTATAATCTGCTGGCCTTTCCTTTTGTATATGTGAGTTGAAATTTAAGCAGAGTAGATAATGTACAATGTTCATTACAAGACAAAATGTTTCAATCAGTGACTGCAGTCGATGCTTGTAAATGGTTTGATGATCATTTTCCTTCAGAAATCACCCCACCACATTCCTCATTGCTAGAAACATTTGTTTTTGACTTTTTTCCTGCTTTTGTAATCAGAACTGTGAACCTACATTTCCTTTGTCATGCTACTTCCAGTTTCCGAAAATGATTAAATTGTTGGTCATTTAGTTATTTATTTTTTCTAAGCCGTTGTTTTGAACTAAATCTTATCATTCTTTGTTGTGATCTTGTCCACCAGAGTTGTTCACACACTAAGTCACAACTTCCGTAACGCCACAAGTGTAGTGCGAACATCACTGAGATTGCCGCTTAAACCAGATTATGTGCTTTTGAAAATCATATATGCTGGGGTGAATGCTAGTGATGTAAGTTTGTTCATCTCATAATCATGTTGTACTTCATATGATACTGGTTATATGTGGATTTCGCAAAGATATGTTAAGTACTAAGCAGAAAATATATATTTTCTAAACCAATCATATTTTATTGAACCTTCTCAAATTTATTTAAAGATATTCTGAGCTTACGTAATTGATTAGACCTGTTCTAACATCATCAAAGCCAACTTAATTGTGTTGAGGAGTACATCTCATATCTCTTAAGCTTGATGCGGTAATAGGTGAAAGCAATTTATTAACAGGTGAATTTTAGCTCTGGAAGGTATTTTAGTGGGGACAAGGACATTGAATCCAGGCTTCCTTTAGATGCTGGTTTCGAGGTAAGGAAATTCCTGTCTTTGTGTCTTCTTTATTAGGTTGATAAATTATCTGGTGAAGGTTTAGGTGAATATTCTTCTCCGTCATTTATGTGATGCAACTAGTCATGCTTTACAAGGCAGAAATGTGCCATGTAGATTATCTTTTATGAACCTTTAACTTGCTCTGGTGTTCTCTGTCTTCAGGGATATTTGTACCCTTTTTGTGTAAAGATTAAGATGTCTTTCAATCTGATACATTTTTTTTATTTCTTTTTGAATTCAATTTGGTTGTAGATAGCATCAAATCTTCTATGTCTACAATCTACCTCAAATTAGGTTGTGCTAGTCATATCAGTGATTGCATTCCCGTGGAATTCTTCGATTTTTTCAGACATTAGAAATATATTGATTTTTCCCCAATAGCAAAAAAAAAAAAGAAAGAAAAAAGAAAAAAAAAAGTTGATCATTATAAATTAATCTTATCATTTGGTGCTTGCCTCCAACATCAGTTCACGACCATGGTTTTACTTTTTTCCCCTCTGTGCAGGGTGTTGGTATAATTGCTGCAATAGGTGATTCAGTTAAACATTTAAAAGTTGGCACTCCTGCCGCAATCATGACATACGGAAGTTATGCTGAATACACGATGGTAAAACATTTGTGCGACTTTGATTATCATGATATTTATCTTTCCTCTTCGTTTGGACGATTTTTCTCTTTCCTTTCTCTGTTGCATTTTTTTTGTTCTTTTAGGGTAATGACAAACATAGTTTCTCTTGTGATTAGGTACCCTCAAAGCACATCCTTCCCGTGGCAAGACCAGATCCAGAAGTCGTTGCTATGCTCACATCTGGGCTAACAGCATCAATAGCTTTAGAAAAGGTGTTAGAGATACATTTTTTTTTTCAGTTCTTGGCTTTTCCTTTTCCATTTACATTTCTTGCATTGGTATTATAATAACTTCCGGTTCTCTTGGTTTGGAAGTGGTAAATGCGTTCTTCATTTGTTAACTTTGCAGGCAGCACATATGGACTCTGGGAAAACAGTTCTTGTCACTGCTGCTGCAGGGGGGACGGGGCAATTTGCAGTTCAGGTGCCATTTATGATGATGCAAAATCTTTTCACTTAAACTTCTAGCTGTTAGATATTGGCAATAGAGCACAATGATCTTATAATCAATTATAGTATAAAAAATGTGAGTTTTTGTTGTCTGTCTTCTTTTATTCTTCTTCTATGAGATTTAAGGACACAGACGCCTTGCTTTTATTTATTTTAGTTATTTTCAGTCATTTCTTTCTCTGTCCAAATACTACCTTCTTTTGAAATTGCATCTGCAACTACATATTGAGATCTAATGCATAATGAACTCTCTGAGTGCAGCTGGCAAAATTAGCTGGAAACAAGGTCATTGCAACATGTGGAGGAAAAGACAAGGCCAAGCTTTTGGAAGATTTGGGAGTGGATCGAGTCATAGATTACAAATCTGAAAATATTAAAACTGTAAGTTTTCGTGGAAAATTATGACCTCTCTCGATCCCTGTGCCACCTGGCCAGGAGATTAAAAAAAGAAAGTTGATTTAGCAACCGTAATGCGTGTGGGAGTGGGAATATTTGGTTTGACTTCTAATTAACTACTAGTTCTGGTAATTTCTGTTCTTTATGCCATCCCATATGGAACAACCACCTGTTTACCCAGAATAAGATTCTCTCTGAAATACGTTTCAGCCATATCTATGTAGCATGTGTTATTTCATCACTTTTTTTCTCTGTTAATAGTTGCCTGTTAGTCAGAGAAGGTAGTGGCATTTTAGTGCACTTAGAATATTTGGAATGTGAAGTGATTTATATTTTTGGCTCATTATGCACTGTGAATTAAGATTTTTTGACATAGTGAGGATATACCCCGCTCATTAAATGTTCATCTGACATATATTTTTTTTATGCTTATCTTCCCAGGTTCTGAAGAATGAGTACCCCAAAGGTGTTGATATTGTATACGAGTCCGTTGGAGGTGATATGTTTGATCTATGCTTAAATGCATTGGCAACATATGGACGTCTTGTTGTGATTGGGATGATTTCTCAGGTTTGTACCATATGAAATGTGAAATTACTTCCCATACAAACAGAAGCAAGCATTTTTCTCCCTCTCTGATTCTGTGCTGATATATTGTTAATAAAACTCGTGACTGCACTGCAGTATCAAGGAGAACATGGGTGGACCCCTCGAAATTATACTGGATTATGCGAAAAGATTCTGGCCAAGAGTCAGACCGTGGTAAGTGAGTCGTATTTGCTTTTTTATTCAACCAATTGTTGATTGTAGACTCCAATATTTGAATTGGTAGTCCCACATGGATTTGGGTGTATTCATTTGGGATTTCTAAAGACTTTAGAAATCCTGGTGCATTTAATCTGGAATTTTTAAGATTTTTAAAAGTCTTGGAGTATTTGGGATTTTAAATTATCTTACAAAATCATGAGGTATTCAACCTTATTTTTGTGAAAACTTTTTAAGATTTGTTGGGATTTCTAAAGAAAAACCTTATACGAAATCCCACTCAAAATCTTACCAGCCTTAAGATTTATAAGGCTTTCACAGGATTCCTCCAAAATCGGAAATCTTAAAAAGTCTCAACATACCCAGGATATTCCCAACTGGTTGGGGTCTGGGAGGTCAGTTGTATGTTATTAAAAAGTCTCAAATCTAGAAAAATCTCAAAATGTCACTTGAAATTTCAAACGAATACACCCCCCTTAGAATAAAGTGATGAGTAAAGTGATGAGTGCTTTTCGCGGCGAGTGTACTTATTCTCGTAGGTTTTGTTGATTCAACTCCTAAAAGCTTTGCCTGTTGCTATGTCTATTGAAGGGATACGAAATGTTGAATCCTTGGTCCATTAGATTTATTTATTTTGAAAAAAAAAAGAAACGCTAAGATGGAGACGGATGGACAAGTATAGAAAGAAGGAAAAGGGCGTCAGAAATTGATTTTACTCTAATGAATGCATTACATTTTCATTACAAAATGGAAATGATTGATTGTTTTACCCAGCCAAAACAACACACATAGACACACAAACGAATACAGGAAAGGAGAGACGTTTTATAATTTTTTGCTCTGACCTGCACTTTACGTGTTCAGGCTGGCTTTTTCCTACTCCAATATGTTCAGTTTTGGCAAGAACATCTAGATAAGTTGGTCGATTTGTACTCCAAAGGGAAGCTAAAGGTGAATAACAATACTCTTCACAATCATTCACGGCCACTTCTATTTATTCATTTTCTCTCAACTGTTCTCCGTGTAAATTTATCAGGTAGCTTTAGATCCCAAGCCTTTCGTGGGTATTCATTCTGTTGCTGATGCTGTTGAATATCTCCACTCTGGCAAGAGTGTCGGCAAGGTCAGTTTTACCCCTTTCGACCGATTAGTTTTATGTTGGTGTGTCTTGCGTACTGTTTTAAAAGTCGGTTGATAAATTTGTAGGTCATTGTCTGCATTGATCCCACATTCAGTCACCATCCCGCAAAGCTATGAAGCTTCTGGCCAAAAAAATAAAAAATAAAAAATGAAAAAGAATAAAAATGATAGCTGCCGAGCAGTTGTCTGTAGCACATTTACATTATTATTATCTACACTATATAATCAAAGGTGAGCTCTTAAAAATCAAGGGTTCTAAATTAATAATATATGATAGAACTGTTTACAAATAGTAAATTAAACATTTTTAGAAAGTACTGAGCGGCCTGTATCATATTTTGATTATTGAATGTAGAAAACCATAATGTATCTCGTGTTGCTTTCTCCATGTAACTTTAAACAATTTACTCAGGCAATGTACTTTTTTTTTTTTTTT